AACTAAATTCGTAAAGAGATGAACATTTTTAACATTGAAAGTATAAAAACCTCTTGAAGAGAAGTCTGGGAAGAACCTTAATTTGAAAACACTTAAAATTGATTGACAGTATAGAGATCAAAGAACCCTTAAAGAAAATAGCCATGGAAACTTGAAAACACTTCAAACATACAGGGATTTGAACAACAGAAGTCAGAGAAGTCAAAAACCTAAAGTAGCATAGTGCTAAAAATCGGTTAGTAGTAGGGAAGTAAAAGAACCTTAAAGAACATCCATGGGAATTTGAAAACACTTCAGATACACAGAGATTTGACCAACAAACAACAAGAAGACCAAGCCCTAATATGACAAAGTGCTCAAAAATTGGTTAATCAGTAAAGAAATAAGGGAACCTTAAGGAAAATCAGTGATGAACTCAGAATCGCTCCAGATCTACAAAGATCTGAACCGATTCAAGTCCAAATATTAGGTTTTTGAAGAAAGGAGAAAGGGTAAAGAGAATTTGGCCTTTGAATCAGAGATTTGAGCCGTAAAACATCGATAGAAAGCACTCACAGAGCATAGACAGACTCTTGGAGAGTTTTGAATGAGATCAGGACTAGATCTCTTCGAGGTCCTTCCACGAAATCACAAAATCGAGCAACCAGGGGAAGTAGGAGACAAGTAGAGGTCTCATACAGCCATGGAAATCCATAGATCGAATAGGAATCAAAGGGATTAGGGCTGGTTCTGGGTGGCGACGGATAAGGTTAAGGTTGGATCTCAGAGAGACGGAGAGGATTAGGGATTCTAGGGCGGTTGTTTGGTGAGAATGGTTAGGGTTTAGGGGGTCGTTTGATTAAAAAAGGTAAGAACAAATAAGGGCCGTTGATCTCAGAGATCAACGACCAGGATTAGGAGGGGCCTGGGTCGGGTTAGGTTTAATTGGGGTTGGGTCTGATTGGTTTGGGCCTGGTCTTAGTGGGTTAGGTCCGAAAATTAGAGAAATTAAAAGGCTATTTGTTAAATACCCAAATAATTGATAAAAAATATTTTATAAAATAATTATCAATAAGAAAAAAATAATTTTCATGTATAGAAGTGCTTTAAAATAATTATTCAATATTTTAAAAATATAATGGACCAATTTCTGGTAATATAATGCAGTGATGTATACATGGGCTATAATTGCAAAAATTAGTGCTATTGTAACCAAAAGGTGTAAATCTGGCAATTTGTGAGATAATTTTAATATAACTATAAATAGCAATATTAAGTCATGTAATGCTATAAAGCCATTTGTGATGCGATTTGTAATTATTTATGTAAATAAAATATTAGGATAAAATCAATTTAAAAATATAGAAATTATGGAAAAATATCAATTGAAGCTAATGCATAGTTTTGAAAGTATATATATACTTTTAAAAAATATTATAGGAAAAAATTGGGTATCAACAGGTACAATGATACTGATAGAAAGGCTATTGAGAAGAACTTCAGGGCAAAGAAGATTCTTGTTTATGGCATTGGACCAGATGATTGTAACCACATCTCAGCTTGTCAGTCTGCTAAGGACATCTGGGAAGCTCTTCAAACTGCCCATCAGGGACCCCTCAGATTAATCAGTCCAAATTTGATATTCTTACTACCGAGTATGAGCTTTTCAATATGAAAGAGGATAAGTCCATTCAGGATATGCACACACAGTTCACCTTTATTATCAATGAGCTTCACTCCCTTAGAGAAGTCATCCCAAGAAACGAGTTGGTCTGAAAAATATTCAGTGTTCTACTAGGTTCCTGGGAGAGCAAGGCTAATGCGATCACTGAAGCCAAAGACCTGCAAAAGCTGACTATTGATGAGCGTATTGAAAATCTCAAAACCTACGAGATGAAGAGAAAGAAAGATCTTGAAAGAAGAGAGCCCAAGTAGGAAAAAACCTAGTTATCAAGGCTGCCAACAACGACTCAAGTAGTGATGAACCCGACATTGTGTATCTCATTTGAAGATTCCAAAATATGATTCAAAGAAACGGTGGGATTCCAAAGAAAGGAAGTTCCAACAGGAATTTTAAAGAAAATGATTGTTGTCATAAGTGTGGAAAGTTTGAGCACTTATTAAATACTGTCGTCTTCATAAGCAGGATCATTACAAAACCAATACTAATAAGGAGGCTAAGAGTAACCAGGTCCCTGACAGAAAGTTCAAAAGAAGAGATGATGCTGACAATATGATGAATCAAGCTTTAGCCGCCTGGGGAGATTCCTCCAGTGAATATGAAGGTGAAGATGAGCAAGGAGATACATCTATGATGGTTGCTAAAAATGAATCTTCGGAATAGTCAGTCGTTGCACTCATGGATAAATCTGATGATGATGAGGACAAGGAGGAAGATGAGGTAAGTTTTCTTGATGTTCAAAGAAATTTGAGAACTTACTCTAAGGAAAAATTGATGTCCTTAGCAAATGTGTTGATTGATGTCTATCACAACCTCATTAATGAGAAAAATGCTCTAATTGGAGAAATTGGTGACATAGAACAAGAGAGAGATGATATGGTAATTTCTATTGTAGGCTTGAAGGAACATGTGGAAGAAATAACTAGAGAAAATACCTTGTTGAAAAATCACATGAAAAAATGGATGGACACCCCTAAAGCATAGAAGTGGCTAGTGAGGCTCAACTTGAGCTTGAGAGTGAGCTTAAGAAAGTTAAAACAAGTCTTTCTGCTGACTTGAAAAGAATAGACAACTTTAGGAGGAACTGAAAAGGGTTAAAAATGATCTTGATAAGTCAGTCAAATGGACATGGTCCCCTGATGTAACGTATATGTACAAGAATAATGGTGGAAACAAGCAAGGAATCAGTTTCCGAAAGGCTAAAACCTCATATAATCCCCATAGCAACTACGTAACTGTGGCTGATAATTAGCTGTGTAGTCACCGTGGTCAAAATGGTCATTACAAGGACTCTTGTGAATCTAAAATTCAGTCTCTAGAAAAAAATAAAGTTTTTAATGAAAAGAAGCCTACTGTTAAGGAACATGGTTCTCTGAGAAGAAAATATATGTTTTCTGCATGGACAAAAAGAAGTTTGATCCGCCTGTTCTATCATTATAAGAGACCCAAGCTAGCTTGGGTTCTTAAGTCTAATGAGTGATTTTGTGTGCATACTGGACTGAGAGGAAGCAATAAAAAATGGTACATGGATAGTAACTTCTCGAATCATAAGACTGAAAGGATGGATGATTTCCTCTCACTCAAGGCCTTCCAAGGTAGGAATGTGTCCTTTAGAAATGACAAGAAGCGCTATATTCTTGGTGTTGGCAAAATTGGCAAAACACTCTCCCATGCAATTGAGAATGTGTTCTATATGAATGGCTTGAAATATAGCATGTTGAGTGTGTCTCAAATCTGTGACAAGGAAATAAAGTGAAGTTCTTGTCTCAATCTAGCACTGTTACCAATCTCAAATCTGGTGAAGTAGTGTTGATAGCCAAAATGTTTAAGAACATCTACGTTGTAGACTTTGATTCACTGAATGATGGTGATTTAACATACGTAAGTACCATTGATGATGCTCATTTATGCACTGACGACTGGGGCATACAAGTTTTTCTTTTCTGAGCAAGTTGGTTATGGAGGATATGTTCGTGAGATGAAATATCAACATTGCCTGCTACTTGATTAATATGTGCATGATCAGGTCCCGTTAATTAATTCCCATGTCGTGAGGTAGAAGTGTTAAAATTTAATTTAAAAAAAAAAGGAGATAGGAACTTACTTTAAAATCCGATGCAAGTACATGTATCAATTCAGATATTCTTCCTATACATTTTCATTTTTTTTTAAAAAAACTAAGGCTTTTAATTTTTTGAAAACAGTAGCATCTAAAATATAAATACTGTTCATTTGATTTGCAATTTCAAGGATAATTTTAGTTGAAATCATAGTAGACTCGTAATGGACAAAAATATATGTTTTTTGCATGGACAAAAAGAAGTTTGATCCGCCTGTTTTATCATTATAAAAGACCCAAGCTAGCTTGGGTTCTTAAGTCTAATTAATCATTTTGTGTGCATGCTGGACTTAGAGGAAGCAATAAAAAATGGTACATGGATAGTAGCTGCTCGAATCATATGAGTGAAAGAATGGATGATTTTCTCTCACTCAAAGCCTTCCAAGGTGAGAGTGTGTTCTTTAGAAATAACAAGAAGGCTATATTCTTGGTGTTGGCAAAATTGGCAAAATACTATCCCATGCAATTGAGAAAGTGTACTGTGTGAATGGCTTGAAATATAGCTTGTTGAGTGTGTCTCAAATATGTGACAAGGGAAATAAAGTAAAGTTCTTATCTTAATCTTGCACTGTTACCAATCTCAAATCTGGTGAAGTAGTGTTGATAGCCAAAAGGTTCAAGAACATATATGTTGTGACTTTGATTCACTGAATGATGGTGATTTAACATGCCTAAGTGCCATTGATGATGTTGATTTATGGCATAGACGACTGGGGCATATAAGTTTTTCTTTGTTGAACAAGTTAGTTATGGAGGACCTTGTTCGTGACATGAAGCAGTCAATATTGTCAGCTACTTGATTAACATGTGCATGATCATGTCTTGTTAGTTAATTCTCATCTCGTGAGGTAGAAGTGTTAAAATTTAATTTAAAAAAAAAAGGGAGATAGGAACTTACTTTAAAATCCGATGCAAGTACATGTATCAATTCAGATATTCTTCCTATGCCTTTTCATTTTTTTCGAAAACTAAGGCTTTTAATTTTTTGAAAACAGTAGCATCTAAATATAAATACTGTTCATTTGATGTGGAATTTCAAGGATAATTTTAGTTGAAATCAGAGTCGCCTCGTAATGGATCATTTTGGTCAATTCTCTTTCATTTCCCCGACATATGCGAGGGAGATTATTAAGGACCAAATCGGCTTAAAATATAACATGAAGGTCTAAAGTGGTTAAGTTCCGAAGGTGGGGGCTAGAGCTGTCATTTACTCTAAGATAAAACTACTCTGAAGAGAAAGCGAAAATTAGAAATCGGGAGAGAGAGAGAGAAATGAACGGCAGAGACGACGAAAAGGGTTTGGTATGGAAGCTACCGATAGTTAAGACGAAGCAATTGGGGAAGATTGGACCTGCTTTTGGACTTGGCATAGGCTGTGGTTTTGGTCTCGGAATCGGCCTTATTGGAGGTTCAATTAATTCTTCCCTTTTTCTGACTTTTCATTTTTGAGTAATTAACTCAGAGCTAGTATTTCTTTCTTTCGTTAAGGCACTGGCTTTGGTCCGGGGCTTCCTGGGTTGCAACTGGGTTTTGGTTTCGGTGCTGGGTGTGGAATTGGTCTTGGTTTTGGCTATGCTGTTGGAAGAGGAATTGCTTATGACGACCACCGTAAATACTCTAATGTTGGAAAGCTCTTCAACGGCCATGCCAATTTCCCTAATCAGTAAGTTTTGCTTTTGCCTTTGCCTGCTCTATTCTTGTTTTTCATGACCGTTGAGAAGTTCCATTTTTTTATATTTAGTGCGGCAAAGGGCCAAATATACCACTTTGCATTCAAATATACACATGCCATAATACTATTGGTTCAAATATACTCATCAAATGAGGTGGATGCCACATCATATAAAAATGACTAAAATTTGAAATACAATAATGATACCGGTAATGGTGGCAATAGTGGTGGAGAAGAAGAAAATTTTAGTGGTGAAAAAAAATAGAAGGGAGGGGTAAAATGAGTTAGGGGCACTGAGGGGGAAAGCCATGTGGCATCCACCTCATCAAGTGTTAGTGCCACGTAGGATTGGATGTCTATTTTGAAGAAACTTAACGGAAAAGGTTATATTTGAACCAATATAGCGATAGAAGTATATTTGGACTCAAATTATAACGAGGGGTACATTTAAACCTTTTCTGATAGTATAGGGGTATATTTGGCCCTTTGTCGTATTTAGTTCCTGCTTAAGAGAAGCATGAAGAACAGTCCTCCCTTTTCCCATTGTAGTATCAGTAAAATAACATGTAGCTGTCATATCAAGTTCAACAGCCAACGCGGTTGAACTAGAGTTCGATAAAATAAATACTCCACTAGTTATCTTCTAAGCTTAGATAAAGGTTATTAGATTACTTCTTACTCTCCCACTGTACCTCAATGAGATGTTTTAACCTACATTCTTGTTTTTGTGTGGCCTATAAGGACTTTCAGTGTAGTGTTGGGCTTATCTTCCTGGATTCTAATCTTGCATATTGCTCTGCAATTCTGGACTTGACCTAATGTTGACCTTGTCTTCAAGTGGGAATGTTTCTGTTGGCTCTACAAGTTGATCACTGGGGAATATTTCCTTTTAATTCTGCATAGAAAGCAGAACGTGTTCATCGTGATGCGCCTGAAATATTTTCAGTGAGGCATAAGTTGTGTAATTCCAAACAAAAGAAGGCTGAAAAGAGGGACACAAGCTGGTCTTCTCCTACACTTAGTGTCTTTTTTATTGCTAGTATTCAACAGTCAAATTTCTCTCGTATTTAACGAACTGTTGGAACTATCCTTGATGGGTGTCTCTCTTGGTTCTTGCTAATTGTGTCCTCTTTGGAATTGAGTTTGGAACCGGGGGATATGTGCTTACCAATATACATAACATGATATGTGCTTTGTTTCTAACCATTAAGGTGTATTTCCTAATGCCATATTCATAATATTGCCAGGGACGAGGTAGGGGAACTCATCGATGAGCTTGTTGTGAACACCAAAAAGCTAATCAAAGCAACTACACAAGAGTTGGACAAGTGGAGAAGGTCCTAATTTGTGCCGTTCCCTTTTGTACACAGCTCACTCCTTGTAATGTACATGCTAATTCTTAAGTAGCTTAGCTCCTTGGAGCGAAGGCGTCCCTGATCTAGAAGTATATTATGTAAATCGATAAAATTAGCTAGTTTCTAGCCGAAGGTTTAGATGCTTTGTCTAAGTGGATATAAATAAGCATTCTGTCTCTGATATTTCATGTTTGATGTTATTGGTGTCGAGATGTCCTTTCCTTTAATGTTCTCATAATTTAGTAAAGCCTTTTGAGAGGCACAAAAATGAGTCGTGACAAGAAGAAAAATCAGCTTCACCAATAAAGATTGCTGCAGTAATACCAGTAGTTATCTGTAGATAAGCAATTATATTGGCTCTAACTTAATCTGACAAAATGGTAATATGTACCCATAAGTTTCTACCGAATAATACCCCTAATGCATACACAAGGAACAAGCTAATGATTAGTAGTGGGGCGAAAGTGTACAAAAAATGTGAATTGAGATTGTTTAATGGCCAAAAGTCAATATACTCGTCTGTTCTTTTAAGAGACAAGGTATGCTGCCAATGGTAGTGATGAGTGAGAGTGAGACCATAACAGGTCGAGTTCGGCCATAACCTTTCACGTTTTAAGTGCTCCAACTTAAACATATATAGTCATTGACATCAACATTAATGAAAACCAAATGCAGCATTTGAAAGTTACCTTGGACATAAGGTGGAAACCTAGTATTGTAATGGTCAAATTAATAAAACCACAAAATCTTAAACTAAGTAGCCTTTTAAGTGTATAAAAAATTATGAGATCACTGTATGGGTCAAAATCTGATCAAAGGATCTACTTAAGGAAGAGCGACCAAGAAGCAACCAAGCCGAAGTCGCGTATAGGAAGCGATATGCCAGCAAGTAATTTAGCTACGGTCGGGGTCGAGCACTCAATTCGGTCCGAACGGCCAGTCCAACGCTTAGATATTTTAGAGAAATATTCTATGGGATATCCCAAGAACTTAGGTTCTCCGGTTAAGGGCCACTGGGTAAGGAAAGTGTTTGGTATAAATATCATGAGAAAGTGTGACATAGGGGAGGGAGGCACACACACACAACAACAGATACATCCCTAAAAAGATAAAGATGGTCCCGAACCTCAGGCTCCTGGCCGAGAAAGGAGATAAGAGCTTAGAATCTCGGTATTCATCTATAGTTCAATTTTATCAAATGTACGAAGGACGGTCTTGTTCAAGCATGGTGATTCTTTTCCTTTATGTATTCTTCATTATCATTTGATATTATTGGAGCAATTATCTATTTATTAATCGTGAGATTCAATCGCTGTTGTAATCAAATTTTATGTTCAGTTATGCTTGTTCATTCCTATCTTCAATCTCAGATCTAAAATAAATTATCTCTGGCTAGGATTTGCCCCAAATTTTTTTATTTAATTAGTTTAACGAGAAGGCCTAATACTTTTTAGTCAAACAATCACGTCCCTTAAATTGTGAAGTACTATTATGTGTTGTAGAGTATGATGCACACTGATTGCGTTGACAAGTGAACAAATGAACAACTGAGGCAGAGTAAAGGAGACTGACTTCAGTTTAGATTCACTTCATGAAGAATTATTGTATGCTGCCATTGGCCGGCACTGTTCCTATTTTATCCTGATTCTCCTGCTGTTTTGTCACGTTACCGTAGGCGTCTATCACTCCATACTTTTTCATGCATATATAATAGTAAGCGTTAAGAAAGGCTTAGGCTTAGGCCGGCACCTTTTATTCTGTTTCATTTCCTTGTTTCCTTCATCTTTTTGTCCTCAAACTGCTGACCTCTTCTATGCACTCTTCCTTGTATAAAGCTTCTCTGTACCTCCAATGGAATCCGGAGAGGTCAAACAAGAAGTTGGAAGTAAACGAAAGCTGCAATGAAACGAAATATATCCATGTTTCTTCAGCTTCTGCTCATAATTCTGATGATGATCAGCTTCTTATTTACTTCTCTTCTTGTACCTTCCGTCTCTGCAACAAATCTCAATACCATTTCCACCTGTTTAATCAATTACAACGTCAGTAACTTCTCTGTTTACCCAACAAAGAATCATGCTGGTAATAGTTACTATAACTTGCTTGATTTCTCCATTCAGAATCTCCGATTCGCAGCGTCCTCTAAACCAAAACCAACGGTCATTATCGTACCAGCGAGCAAGGAGCAGCTGGTGAGCAGCGTTCTTTGTTGCAGACAAGGTTCTTATGAAATCAGAGTAAGGTGCGGAGGACACAGTTATGAAGGAACTTCTTACGTTTCCTTTGATGGTTCCCCATTTGTTGTAATTGATTTGATGAAATTAGATGACGTTTCAGTAGATTTGGATTCCGAAACCGCGTGGGTACAAGGTGGCGCTACACTTGGCCAGACTTATTATGCCATTTCCCGGGCCAGTGACGTTCATGGATTTTCAGCTGGTTCTTGCCCAACAGTTGGAGTTGGGGGCCACATTTCCGGGGGTGGCTTTGGATTTTTATCAAGAAAATATGGACTTGCTGCTGATAACGTGGTGGATGCTCTTCTTGTTGATGCGGAAGGACGGCTATTAGATCGCAAAGCCATGGGAGAAGAAGTGTTTTGGGCCATCAGAGGTGGTGGTGGAGGAATTTGGGGAATCATTTACGCCTGGAAAATCCGATTGCTCAAAGTGCCCAAGACCGTGACTAGTTTCGTAGTCCCTAGGCCTGGCTCCAAACGATATGTGTCCCAACTAGTTCACAAATGGCAACTTGTTGCACCAAAGTTAGACGATGACTTTTACCTATCGATTTCCATGAGCTCTGCTAGTAAAGGAAACATTCCTAATGAAATAAATGCCCAATTCAGCGGATATTACCTTGGTACGAAAACCGAAGCCATTTCCATCTTGAATGAGGCCTTTCCGGAGTTGGGAGTTCTTGAAGATGACTGCAAAGAAATGAGTTGGATTGAATCAACACTTTTCTTCTCCGAATTAGATGACGTTACGAACACCTCCGATGTCTCTCGTTTGAAAGAGCGTTACTTTGAAAACAAATCATACTTCAAAGCCAAATCAGACTATGTGAAGACCCCAATTTCAGTGGGAGGGATTATGACAGCTCTTGATGTTCTTGAGAAAGAACCCAATGGACATGTCATCTTTGACCCTTATGGTGCAGCCATGCAGAGAATTAGCGAGGAAGCTATTGCTTTCCCTCATAGAAAGGGTAACCTTTTCGGAATTCAATATCTAGTAGTGTGGAAAGAAAAGGAAAATACTATTGTCAAGGGCAATGGGTACATAGAGTGGATAAGAGAGTTTTACAATACAATGGCACCCCATGTTTCAACTTCACCTAGGGCAGCTTATGTCAACTATATGGATCTTGATCTTGGAGTGATGGACGACTACTTATTGCTAAATACTAGTATTACTGCCTCTGCTGATCATGCCGTGGAGAGAGCAAGGGTCTGGGGTGAAAAGTATTTCTTGAATAACTATGATAGATTGGTCAAAGCTAAGACAAATATTGACCCACTAAACGTTTTTCGACATCAACAGGGCATCCCTCCTATGTTCGCCTCAATGCAAGAGCATACCTATAGTAGTAAATGAGATATATAGTAACAAATATTTGTACTAGCTTGTACTGTAGTTTTCCTTTTCTTTTTTTCCTTTTAAAACATTGTTAGTTGTCCTATTACCTTAATTTGCCTCCTGGGATCATGTAGCATTTAAAAAAAAAGGGGAATAGCTCTTCCAATATTTTATCATGGAAAAAGGTAATAAGCGACCATACGTTTTTATTAAGCTGAGAATGAAAAGCAATAGAGACTCACACAACAGTTGTAGTGGGTAGATAATATCCCTAAATACTTAACTAAATATTTCGATTTCGAGCTTGGAAATGAAAAAAATTCTGGTGGGGAGTATTTTTCATTTAATGGGTCTTATACGACGCAAACCTGGATTAATCGAAGGTCCAATACTGTTGTTATTGAACACGGGTCGGAAAAAAAAAAAGAAGAAAAAGAGCAATGGATAAAAAAAATGATAAAATCCAAAATAATTATGAAGAGACAGGTTTGTTGCTAAGCAATGGTTTATAACAGCAAAGAACAATAAAAAGTACTGATATTTGAAATATGTGCTTTTAAGAATCTAAAGTAAACCATAGCGAATTAAATGGATCTTGCATATACAATTCTTTCTTTGAACAAATAGATGATTGTGTCTTTTTTCCTCTGATTTGGTTGGTAGCACTTCAAAGGTTTACCATAACGAGCAGAGACGGATCTAGAATTTTAAGCTTGTGGGCTCCTACAGAAATCTTAAATTAATATACAATAATAACTGGATTAATGTAGTGGACTCTAAGCCAAATATTCTTATATACTTGATGAATTTTTCAATACAAATAACGAATCTAGAAAAAAACCCATAACTAATTTACTGGATGACGGGTTCTAATAAGTCGGTGGAATAAAAAAGACAAATAACAAGACTAGCTAGTCAGATAAGCCTAATGGTCATCCGCCCCTTCAATAATCCGTTAGCTAGTCAAGCAAGGAATGGTAGTTGTAAACATTTTCGAACAAAAAGGAGTTAAACCAAATTCAATTAGAGAGTCAAGCATGATGGTGCTTAATTGCAACATAATCTCAGGGAGCTTTAAAGGTTTCAGACTCATTTGCAATTGATTCTCAAGATGTCCAAACCCAGAATCTTTCGTGATTTACATTGATTTCCCATGGACCACATAAAGGCTACTTAGTTAGAATTGAGTTTGGTCGGAAAAAAACTAGACTTAAGTAACAAATATGTTGATATATTAATTTTTTTTTTCATTTTAAAACTTGAGATAATTTTGTTTATACCTTCATCATATGAGGTCACCAAAAAATATTTATATATAACCTCCATAAAAAGTGGAATTTGTAAATCTGGAGGACAAGACAAGTTACCTACTACAACAAATAAAGGTGACCTAATAGTATCAAAAGCCTTTAGTATATAAATTAAACCCTTTTCTTTATGGATTTTAATTTACAATTAGGGGTCCGTCAAACTTCTTTTGGAGCCAATGTATATAGTTGTTTTAACTATCGTCATAAATTAGATTAAATATTTTAGAATCCAAATAGAATAAGACAACATGTACGTACCAGATAAAAAAACAAAAGTAAAAGAAGATAAAAACATATCCAAGTGTTTTTCTTATAAGCAATTAGTATTGTATTCATATATTCCAGTTCTGTTGTGATCTTTTAACGAACTAATTACGTAAACGATTTATTCGTTTTTCGTTACTAGGGACGCGGGAAAACTAGTAAAAAGAAGGATATATTATCGCCAAAGGTTTGCTCAGAGGATAAGTAGCGAGTTAGTTACGTAGGAATTCAGATCTCTAATCAAAGTCTAATTAATCTGTCATGTTGCGTTCTATTTAAACAGGGGCTAGAGATTTCTGATATATTATCCCTGCTACCGTATAGTTTAGATATATATCTCCTCTCTCGATCGCCTCTAATTTTTGGTTTTCTTTCTTTCTTTGATCTTGCATATTTCTGTAGAATTACACGTAAAGTAGTGATGGCAAAGTCAGCAGAGATTGTTTGTTTCGGGGAGATGTTGATTGATTTCGTTCCTGATTCTGCCGGAGTCTCCTTAGCAGAGTCTACTGGCTTTCTCAAAGCTCCTGGTGGTGCACCTGCTAATGTTGCTTGCGCCATTACCAAACTTGACGGCACCTCCGCCTTCATTGGCAAGGTTCGTAGTTGTACAATGATATTACTTTACATGACAATATTATTATTTGAAGAGTCAAATCTTTTTCTTTGACCAAGATCTTATTTTAATATTAAGTTTTGTGATTTACAATACTTGTTCTATATAATCTATGAATATATATAAATTTATTTGATAAAACTTGAAGATTCAATGTCCATCTCCTCCTGTTTGGTCAAGCCGAACGAACAGCTTGGTTAGCAAACGGTCTCTTATTTACCTTGTTTTTTTATAGTAACTTGTTTTTGGAGAAAAGTTTGTAGTTTTGATAGGCTTAGGTTAATTTAGTTTTTCTATGCATTGGATCTCCTTTGTGACAATAATCTAACAGTAAGGGATTGATCTCGATTTACACATAAAATTAAGACATTTGACCCTCGTATTATGCATTAGGAGTAGTAATTAACAACTTGTTTTAGTAGTACTTCTTTTCATCGATCTCGTCAATATATAAGTTTCTCAAATATGATTAACTGAGCAGGTGGGAGACGACGAGTTTGGGCGTATGTTGGTAGATATATTGAAGAGCAACGGGGTGAACAGCGAAGGAGTGTGCTTCGATACGCAGGCGAGGACAGCGCTAGCGTTCGTGACACTAAAGAGCAACGGGGAGAGGGAATTCATGTTCTACAGGAACCCGAGCGCAGACATGCTGCTCAAGGAGTCAGAGCTGAACTTGGGTTTGATAAAGCAGGCTAAGATCTTTCACTATGGTTCCATAAGTTTGATTACGGAGCCTTGCAGGTCAGCTCACATGGCTGCCATGAAAGCTGCGAAAGACGCAGGCGTCCTCCTTTCGTATGATCCAAATGTTCGCCTTCCTCTCTGGCCTTCCCCTGAAGCTGCAAGAGATAATATCAAAAGCATTTGGAATGAAGCTGATTTTATCAAGGTTAGTGATGATGAGGTAAATTTCCTCACACAAAAAGACGCAGAAAAGGAGGAGACAGTGTTGTCCCTATGGCATGACCGCTTGAAGCTTCTTGTAGTTACTGATGGAGAGAAGGGCTGCAGATACTTCACCAAGGTAACTTCTTAACATTTTCTTTTTTTTTTTTCCTTCTTTTACTTGAAGTTTTGTTTACACTAACGCTATATATTCATGCACAGAGTTTCAAAGGAAAAGTGAGCGGGTTCTCTGTCAAGACAATAGATACCACAGGAGCCGGAGATGCTTTTGTAGGTTCCCTTCTGGTTTCCATCGCCAAAGATCCTTCTATTTTCCAGGTATCATCACTTTGACATTGACAAGAATCTCTTACATTTGGTTTTAAAAATTTTTATTATGGGCTTTATTTACTCAAAGTTCTGTTTTTAAAGTATTGCGCTACGTTGAGGAGCACAGAGTTTTCATATTTTCATAAGTATTTAACATGTACTTCTACTTGCTTGGCATATAGTTTTTGTAATACATTCATTCTTGAAAAGGAAACAAGCTATCTGTATAGGTGAACCGACTAGTTACGATTAAGTTTAGTTGTTATTGATACACTTGCATTAGATCCGGTGTCTGGCAGGACTTTAATAAGATTAGTTAGATAGTATAAGATACTATAGGAATAAGGGTGAGATGTAGAAAATCCTTAGTTTGGAATAATGGAGCAGAATCTATATTTGAAGATTATATAGCTAACTTGAACTTATTTGAAAGAGGCATAATCGTTATTGTTGTTGTTGTTGCTATAATATGGTAATTGATTCTTCCACTTCTTGCTGTTATTATCTTTATGGCATCTTTTGTTGTTACAGGCCTTTTCTTTTGTTTCCTTTGTTTTCTTTTTTGATATTATTGTCTCTTCTGTTGAGCCGAGAGTCTCACGGAAACAGCCTCTCTACCCGAAAGGTAGGGGTAAGGTGTGCTTAGTATGTTGTTGTTTGATTCCTCCACTTCTACTTCCCTCCTTCTTTTGCTTCCTTACTGAACACTAACAATAACATTTATCCCTCATCCAATCCCTTCTTTTTAATTAGCCTAATTCAAAACTTGTAAACAGAATTAGTAAGATGTTTTGCAGTATGGATGTTTGAAGCAATGTTACACTACTTTCTTCATTACTTTAAATTGTTCTGCTTTTTTTGGATGATTATTGATGGAACTGCTAATTAATGTTCACTGTGCTTGTGTAGGATGAAGAGAAATTGAAGAAAGCCTTGAAATTTGCAAATGCATGTGGTGCAATCAGTACAACCCAAAAGGGAGCCATTCCAGCATTGCCATCAACATCTGATGCCCAAGGACTCATTGCTGGCTCCAAGACTTACTAATGATTCTTAATTACCACCTATCCTAGTTATCATCGTGTTTTTTTACTGCCAGTATCATTTAACTACAATTCTCCAAATTAGTATTCCTTAATAAGTTTTGCTGGACAATATATTTAGATTAAAACATTTATTCCCCTGCACAATGTTCTAATTGCTTTTATCCTAGCGTGCATAAAAAAATTACTGCCTTAACTTATTGTTTGTATTACTCCATAGTTTATGAACAATTCCCAAGTTGTATGTTGAGGGATTTCCAATTGTCTTTTCTATTTTCTTCCAAATTGATGAGTTCTAATAATCTGCACTAATACTTTTAATTTAATCCAATTATTCTGCATGTTATAATAGATCAATATTATATCCAAGCCCTAGTTATAAGGTCAAAACTCGTCAATTTAATGTTTTAAGTGAAGCATAGTAGTAAAATTGAGACCAATGCATTGTGATAATATAAAATACTGATTACTGATCGTGTATCTCCTTAGCAGGTTAGTTGTGATGGGACTTATCGCTATCACTTCGAGAGTAATTTGATTGTGTATATCCACTTTTGGGGCCACTATTGAAGTTATACCTGTATTGCACAAAATTTTACAAAGTATAACTCGGATTTGAAGTAGTTCAATAAATCTTCCGATGTAAGTTCAAAAATCAAATATATATGAAGTTCTTTTATCTTTCAAATGAAACTTCAGAGATTCAAAACTTAATTAGTTCTATCTCTTTAATGTAACTTCAGTAGTTCAAATATGAAATTAAGCTTGTCAAAGCCTAAACTTAAGACGTAAAAATCTGAAGTAAGCTTGTCAAAGCCTAAACTTCAGACATAAAATTCTAAGGTTATCGTTATAATACTCAAAACAATAGCCACCCTAAACTCATAATTTTTAAACCCCATAAATCATGTCTGCATCATACTGTTAGATTTAAAGCACAAATGACAGCAAACACGATGAAGACAGTGTCTACTTTTAAACACAACAAGAAGCAGGGAGAATATGAAGAACTAAAATTAAGAAGATGACTTAGAGAAACTAATATACAAAGAGTTCAGTTAATTCTGTAGAAAGACAGGTTCTTAAAACATATCCTAAAAAAAGAAAACTGAAATAGATCATGACCCTACTTTTAAGTCATGGAACTAACCATGATAACTAACTCCTAATAAAACTGAAAATACAAACTGCAGGAAAATAATATAAATATTGCTGTCCTAAAGCAACTAATTAATACTCCTCCTTGCATTAGGAGCTGCGAATTCCAAGTCGTTGCCTCAGGAACTCGAACTTGCTGACAGGAAGAGATTTCGTAAACACATCTGCTAGCTGGTCTTCAGATTTGCAGTAAACAAGAATCACTTCTCCATTTTTCTGCACATCCCTCAAGAAAAAAAGCTTAATGTTGAAGTGTTTAGTCTTCCCATGGAACACTGGATTATGTGAAATAGCTATTGCAGCTTGATTATCAACATGAATCTTTGTATTATCTCTTTGATCCATATGCAAATCACACATTAATTTTCTCAGCCATAAGGCTTGATTTACTGCCGTTGTTGTTGCAATGAATTCAGCCTCTGCAGTGGATTGTGCCACCGTTTCTTGCTTCTTGGAACACCAAGAAAAAATCCCTGATCCTAGGCTGAAGCAATATCCAGATGTACTCTTTATATCGTCAAAGGATCCAGCCCAATCACTGTCCGAGAATCCATACAACTTGAGATTCTGACACTTCTTGAATTTGACACCATAGTCGATAGTACCTTTAATGTATCGTATAATTCTTTTTGCTGCTCTCAAATGCATTTCAGTAGCACAATGCATAAATCTAGACAAAAGACTTACAGCAAATAGAATATCCGGCCTTGTAGCAGTGAGATACATCAAGCACACAATCAAGCTTCTGAAATTTCCTTCATCAACTTTATCAGTTCCATCCTCTTTGCTTAACTTTTCCTTCGGATTCATAGGTGTACTTGTTGCCTTGCAGTTCTCCATGCCGAATTTTTTAAGTATTTCCCTTGCATACTTCTTCTGGCAGATAAAAATTGCATGAGAACCTTGCTTGATTTCCATTCCCAGAAAGTATGTCATTAGCCCAAGGTCTGTCATTTGAAAAACTTGCATCATTTCCTTCTTAAATTCTTCAACCAGGCACGCATTGTTCCCTGTCACCAAGAGATCATCAACATAAAGAGAAACTATAAGAAGATCAGTTCCCTTATGTTTGACATAAAGGGTAACTTCAGACATACTTCTTACAAATCCCAAACTCAACAAGTGTTCATCTATCCTGCTATACCAAGCCCTTGGAGCTTGTTTTAAGCCATAAAGAGCCTTTTTAAGAAGACAAACTTTTTCTTCTTGTCCTTGCTCAATAAAAACCCTCTGGCTGCTCTACATAGATTTCTTCCTGCAACATACCATTTAAAAATGCGGATTTGACATCTAGTTGGAACACCTTCCAGCTTTTTTGTGCTGCTATTGCTAGCAACAGTCTAATAGTATCCAACCTGGCTACTGGAGCAAAAGTGTCTGAGTAATCAACACCAAAAATCTGGGCATACCCCTTGACAACAAGCCTAGCCTTGTGTTTGTTGATAGAACCATCAGAATTAAGCTTGGTTCTAAACACCCATTTTACTCCAATGACCTTCCTATCCTTTGGCCTGTCAACTAACTCCCAGGTTTTGTTCTTCTTGATCATTAACATCTCCTGCTCCATAGCATTTCTCCAATTTTTATCTTGAAGTGCTTCCTCGTGCCCAGCAGGTTCACAAATTGCCACATTACTTTGTTGGTAGATATCAGAAAGTAATCTTGTACCTCTGATGGGAGGATGATCCACTAACTCATTTTCCCATTGATCAGATGCTTGCTTCTCTGATGCTTTGATTGAAATTTGATTATTCTCCCAATCCCACATTTCTTCCTCATTAAAGTGCACATCTCTGCTGACGATCATCTTTCCTGTTTGTGGATCATAAACTTTGTAGGCTTTGGAGAATGAGCTATAACCCACAAAGATTCCAGGAATTGCTTTTTTATCAAGTTTATCTCTTTTAACTTGTGGCACATGAAAGAAGCAAACACAACCAAATACTTTAATGAAGCTTAGTGAAGGTTTGAATCCATACCAAGCCTCGAATGGAGTTTTATTCTGCAATGCTTTAGTGGGAAGTCGGTTTTGGAGAAATACCGCCGTGTTAGCTGCCTCAGCCCAAAAGCTTTTCGGCAGCTCTTTTTCATGCAACATGCACCGTGTCATCTCCATTATATACCTATTCCTCCTTTCACTAACTCCATTTTGCTGCGGAGAGTATGGAGCAGTGAGCTGATGAACAATACCAGCTTCCTCACAAAATTTGTTTAATTCTTCAGAATTATACTCTTTTCCATTGTCAGACCATAGGGATTGGATTCTGTAACCACTTTGATTTTCCACCATCTTCTTAAACTTTCAGAAAATTCCAGCCACCTCTGATTTGTATTTCATAAAGAAAATCCAGCAGAATCTTGTATAATCGTCAATGAAAATAACATAGTAGAGGCTACCTTTTAAGGAGGGTGTTCTTTGAGGTCCTGCAACATCTGTGTGAATCAGTTGCAGCCTTTGAGAAGCCCGCCATGATGCTTCAGGGAATTGCTTCCTGTTTTGCTTACCAAATTGACAAGCTTGACAACTTGGTAAATGATCAACTAGAGTTGGTAGCCCTCTTGTCATATCATCCTTCTTCAACAGCAACAATGCTTGTAGATGACAATGGCCAAGTCTTTTGTGCCAAATTTCAGTTACACTTGCTCCGGTGGAATAAGCCAATTGTTCCTTCTCAGTTGGATCGAAAGGAAAACTCCTTCCTCTCATCTTCACCCTGAAAATTTCACGTCCAACCACGTCACTGATTTGACAGTGATGATCTTCGAAGTAAATTCTGAATCCTTTTTCAAGTAGTTGTCCTACACTTAGCAAGTTTTGATCAAGGTCAGGTACATAAAGAACTTCTGAAATGCTCTTTGTGCCTGTGTTTATCTTGATAGCTATGGTTCCTTTTCCTTTGGCAGAAAGATGGTCACCATTTCCTATCCTAACTTTGGAAATTTCAGTGGGCTTCAACTCCTTGAATAGGCTCCTGTCATGAGTCATGTTGTTAGTGCAACCACTATCAATAAACCAAGAATCCGTTGAGCTCTTACTTGAGAAGCATGTTGCAATAAAAAGTTGATCCTCTTCTTCTTGATCAACAACTTGAGCATCTGCTTCCTGTTGCGGGGCCTTATTTTTGCAAATCACGGCTTCATGTCCGAGCTGATTGCATTTCTTGCACTTAGCATCAGGTCTCCTCCAACATTTGAATGGCGGATGACCTTTTTTTTCACAGTGGTGGCAATGGGGGTAGTTTTTCTTCATACTTCCTCCCTTACTTTTACTGTTGGTTGATGTTTCTCCTTCATTTGACGCTTGATTCTTCTTCTTCTTCTTCTTTATTTTGTTTTTACCATCAACCTGGTGCTTAGCAGCAAGAGCCCCTTCAGTTGTAACATCCTGCCTCATGAGCCTTCTTTGCTCTTGAGCTTTCAAGGAATTTAGCAACTCTGCCAAACTAATTTTTGACAAATCCTTAGTATTTTCTAAGGTCGTAATTATTGCTTCATACCTTTCAGGCACTGTTACAAGAATCTTCTCAACAATTCTTGAATCTGTGAGTGTAGAGCCTAGTAGCCTCACCTTATTTGCAATATTCAGAAGTTTATCTGAGTACTCCTTAACTGATTCAGATTCCTTCATCTTTTGCAATTCAAACTCCCTAATTAAGTTTAAAACTTGCATACCTTTATTCTCTCATCTCCAGCATACTCTTCCTTGAGATAATCTCATACTTCTTTAGCAATTTTCAGAGACATTATCCGTGTAAAAACTGTTGGCAATACAGCAGCAAATAAACATGCTTTGGCCTTCGATTTCTTTGTCTTCTTTTCCTTGTATGCTTTGATCCGAGCCATAGTGGGATTATTTGGTAGGACTGGAATTTCATAATCCTCTTCCACAGCTTCCCAGAGATCCAAAGCATCCAAATATGTCTCCATTCGTACTGCCCAGATCTGATAGTTATCTCTATCAAAGACCGGCGGAGCAATCGGTGAAAAACTCACTTCAGCATCCATAACTTCTCCAACTTGATCACAAATCCCTTAAGATGAAAGCTCTGATACCAATTGTTAGATTTAAAGCACAAATGACAACAAACACGATGAAGACAGTGTCTACTTTTAAACACAACAAGAAGCAGAGGGAATATGAAGAACTAAAATTAAGAAGATGACTTAGAGAAACTAGCATACAAAGAGTTCAGTTAATTCTGTAGAAAGACAGGTTTTTAAAACATATCCTAAAAAAAGAAAATTGAAATAGATCATGACCCTACTTTTAAGTCATGGAACTGACCATGATAACTAACTCCTAATAAAACTGAAAATAAAAACTGCAGGAAAATAATATAAATATTGCAGTCCTAAAGCAACTAATTAACACATACAAAGACCAAACAAGTTGCATGTTGGGTGATATAACAATGAATTTGTAAGAAAATAGACATACTTGGGAACATAACAGGCAACAACATTCTTTTGGATGGCGTTTTTGACACCAACGCACTCAAAGGTTCTTCTTCTATGAATAAGGAAATAAAAATGGAGAAGGAAAAGCAATAGCAGCAACAGCGACATGATGTTTCTCCTAATTCGGTTACAAGTTATAAGTTTTTTAAAGATTTAATGCCCTAAAACATCTTTTAATTTTTATCTTTTGGTGAGTTACCTGCTTAAATTATATGGTGTCCTCCCCTCGAACTGTTTCCCCCTTCATACTAAAACTCTCTCGGTGCTTACCTGGCATAATATGTGTAATAACTCGACTAAGAGCGCGTGAAGTCTAAAAAAAGCCATCAAAATGACCCACCCAATAGTGTGTAATGACTAATTAGCCTTACACTTTTTATAAATTTACTTTTTGTATTTTTCTCCTCATTTGCTTTATTTTTACACCTTTTTCTTTATTTTTTCACATTTCTTCCTCATTTTTTCACCTTTCCTTTTTGAATCTCCATATGGATTTCCTTTGAAAAATTTTCACCTCTCTTGTTCCATTAAATTTTATTACTTTTCTTGTTTTAATCTTCTTTTAATTCTTACCCATATTATTGAAAAAAATACTCATTTAAATCTTTATATTAGACCCAACACTTTGTAGAGAATAAAGTTGAATCTCTTGAACCTTGTTTGTGTCATCTAGAATAAGAGATTGTAGTTACTGGCCGATTGATTTCTTGTATGTGGAATGTTATTTTGTATAATCTCTTTGTTTAATATAGATGATTTTTTCATAAATACAACACTATATACCTTTCATTTGCTGCAAAGATATAAACTGTGAGTACGTGATTTTTGCCCGACTAGAAATACTCCTACAAAATTAAAAAATAGGTTTTTCTAAAAAATTTTTTATAAAATTTTATAGGAATTTCTTGTTAATTGTTTGCATTTAGTTGGTATTTTTGTGCACATTTAATATTTTAAAATCATGAAAAATACCCTAAAAATGTTTAAAATTTCATGCATTGCATTTTAGGCTTGTTATTTGCATTTCTAAGGTTAAGTCGTTAATTAATTGTTTTATTAAAAGAAAATCACAAAAAACTATTTGTTTTAACATTTTTAGTCTTAGTGATTAAAATCAGTATTTTTTTTTAAAATAAAAATTAAGATCGACTAATTATGTAAATAATATAAATAGATAGTTGGTTTAGTTTTATAATTTAAGATAATTTAGTACTTAATTTAGGATTTGATTAAATTAAATAGATTTTAAAAGTTAATTAGACAAAAATGGGTTTAAATACACCTTGGCCGGACTGGGCCAATTCTTAAAATCAGCCCAATCCCAAAACTTAATTCAAAAAATTACCCAAGCCCAATACCCCCAAATCGGTCCAGTCTATTGCCTAAACCAAACGGCATCATTTGGATGCCAAGCAATCCTGGCCGTTGATTTTCAATAGATCCAACAGCCCGGAACTCATCCCCCTAAGTATTTAACTGTCCTAACACCCCCTTACCCCTCATTTCCGTTTCCCCCTCTTTCATACCATCTCTCTCTAACCTCACCCCAAACCCTAGCCGCCACTTCACCCTCACTCTTCACCACAACGGAAATCGCACCACCATCCACCGCCACTCAAACCACCGATGACCGCCGG